GGTCCGGGCGCCGGATTCTGTCCCGGTTGCCCCTCTTCCAGGCCAGCTCTCTGCTATGGCCCAGGAGTGCAGTGGAGGATGGCCCGGGTGCTTGGGCCCTGCACCCGCATGGGAGACCAGGAGAAGCACCTGGCTCCTGGCTTCGGATCAGGATCAGCGTGATGCACCGGCCACAGCGCGACGGCCGTGGCGGCCACTGGAGGGTGAACCAACAGCAAAAAGAAAGACCTTTCTCTCTCCTCTCTCTCTATCCACTCTGCCTGTCAAAAAAAAAAAAAAAAAAAGAGAGAGAGAGAAAAGAATGATATGCTACTATAATTTTAATAATTCATGATCGTTTTAAAATTTACTGTGTATGAGCGTAGCTGACATTTTTATACAAACCTCTGATTTAATAAATATAAATCTCGTAAGCACACCTTTTGGATTATAGTCATTCTTCCCCCCATACCCTCCCTCCCACCCACAAACCATCCCAACTCCTACTCCCTCTTCCATCCCATTCTTCATTGAGATTCATTTTTAATTATCTTTACATACAGAAGATCAACTCTATACAAAGTAAAGATTTCAACAGACTGCACCCACACAGACACACAAAGTTGAAAGTACTGTTTGAGGACTAGTTTTACCGTTAATTCTCATAGTACAACACTTTAAGGACACAGGTCCTACATGGGGAGCACGTGCACAGCGACACCTGTTGTTGATGTAACAACTGACACTCTTATATTTGACATCAGTGAGCACCCTAGGCTCTTGGTCATGAGCTGCCAAGGCTATGGAAGCCTCTTGAGTCCACAAACTCCAACATGATTTAGACAAGGCCATAATCAAAGTGCAAGTTCTCTCCTTCCTTCAGAGATAGGTACTGACCTCTCTGACAGCCCTTCCTTTCCCCTGGGATCTTACTCCCAGAGATCTTTCATGTGGGTGACTTTTTGCCACAGTGTCTCAGCTTTCCATGCCTGGAATGCTCTCATGGGCTTTTTAGCCAGATCCGAATGCCTTAACGGCTGACTCTGAGCTAGAGTGCTGTTCAGGGTATTTGTCATTCTATGAGTCTGCTGTGTGGCCTGCTTCCCATGTTGGATCATTCTCTCCTTTTTAATTCTATTACTATTAGCAGACACTTGGTCTTATTTATGTGATCCCTTTGACACTTAATGCCATCTTACTAGTTAAAGTGATCAATTCGAGTATACAACTGATCCTAAAGATGGGACTTCGTTTGTTTGATAATTTTTATGGCCCTTGCCTATATTCTTCCTTACTAGCTGAACTCTTTATGAGTGAAATATAAAGCTCTTAGGAGGCAAGTTAAAAAAAATACACTATTTCAAAAATAATAAAAGATTTAAAGAGAATGACAAGCCCTTACTTTCTAAATTTTTGGTTTGTTAAGAATAGTATACAAACTGCAATGTCTCTGTAGGGATTCTCAAAATCCAATAAAATCTCAATTATGAAAAAAAGCTTATCTCGTATTCATTGTATTGCTCTGATGCTATTCAATTTCACATACACGTGAAAACATACTACCATTTTCTTAATTAAAGGAAACAATCTAAAATAAATATTCATCACCAACTTAAAATGCAGCATAATAGCCTTTTGACTGAGCACGTCAAGAAAGAACCATTCAGTCATTTACAGGCTATGTTTTTGTATTGATTAACCTTTTTCAAATACCATAATATTAGTTGTGACATTAATCATTTAAAACCCCTTAACCTTATACACCAAGTAACATGTTGGTATTTTTACTTACATTTTATCCACAAGAGTTGTACATATGTATGGGCTAGTGTGACATTTCAATACTTATATAAAATTTGTACTGATCAAATCTACATTTCTCTTTGGACATTATTTTACGCTTAGAGCCTTGAGCTCGTGTACTTGGTTTGCTAATAAAAGATCTAACAGAGATTACTGTGAGCTACACACAGCCCACTGTGTGACTTTAGGAAATGACTCAATGATCTACTGCCACTAGGATACAGCATCATCCGTAAACCCTTTTTTCCACCTCGTTTTAATATCGCAACTGGTTTCAAAAGCAAAACACAGAGAAACAATAAAGGGGAGAGGGGGAGAGACAAAGAGAGAAAGATACCCACCCGTCTAGCAGTTCATTACCCAAATGCCCACAAGGGCTGATCTGACCCAGGCTGAGCTGGGAGATGGTCTCCAAGGTGGTAGCAAGAATCCCACTACTTAAACCATCACTGCTGCCACTGGTATCCTGAGCATTGTCTTTCCCACTAGGCCAAACATCCATCCTTCAAAAAACTCTGACATAGCCTCATATAGCCCTGGCTTCCAGAGAAGGAGGCCACAGTCCCCTGTCTTGACCCCATCACTGCATGGTCTCCTACTCCCCAATCACCACACATGCCCCCATGTGTGCCTCCCACAACCTCCCTAACTTCAACCAGCCCACTGTCTTCTCTGGCATAAGGGCCACATCATAATACAGCTTCAGATATCTGTATGTGGATACTCAGTTTGGTTCTGCCTGAGATATGGGTACCCTGGGTCTGCTGAGTGTACACTTAACAACCCCAGTGTGCAATGAGGCCCAGTGTCACCTGGGGACCTAGTACCACAGATAGAACAGAACATCAGAGCACTGAAGCTAGGACGGCGGCACGGGACTCGGACCACGAGCCAGCAGTAAGGGCCAACCTGGCTTCTGCCAGCTTCTGCCAAGCTCCTGCTCAACTCCAGCCACAGCATCTGGTTAAACGGATCCAACGGAAGACACTGGGAACCCTGGCCCACCAGGGCTGCCAAACATGCAGTCACTGGACGTAAGGGCCCACATCTGAGGCAGAAGCAACCTAGCTATCCACATGTCCAAAACTGAAACTGTGGCATGGCACTGTCACACCACATATTAAAATCAACTCAAAATGAACTGAGAGTCCACACAGAAGATCTGAACCCTTACAACTTATAAAATAGAAAAATCCTTGACATTAGCCTCAAGAGTGGTTGCTCATGTGTTAACAATTAAGCACAGAGCAAAGCAAATATAAGGAAATGAAACTACAACAAACTAGTAAAGCAAGGATCAATGAAATGAAAAGGCAAACCAATGAATAGGAGAGAATGTTAGCAAACCAGATGTGCGATCAAGGGAGTAATACAAGGAATGTGCACCACTAAGAAGCAAAGAATACAATTAAAAAGGGACAAAGGACTGAATCAATGTTTTCCAGCAAAGACATACAATGTACCCAGTGGGTATGTGAAAAAGTTCTGAACATTGCTAACATCAGCAAAATGCAAATCAAGATGACAATGGTTATTATCTCCTATCTGTTAAATGGCTACTGTTAAAAAGCTAAAAAGATAACAAGTATTGGGCACAATGTAGAGAAAACGAACACACATCATTGGAGGGAATGTACATTATACCGTCCATTATGAAAAACAATATGGAAGTTCCTCAAATACAATTTAAAAAGGAACAACCTTTATTGACCATGAATCCAAAAGAAAATCACCATCTCAATGAACTGTCCGCATCCCCACATCACTTCAGCATCATTCACAATTCCACGATATGGAAATAATCCAAATGTTTGCTGATGGACCCATAAGGAAAAATGGGATACACACACAGTGGCATCCTCGCCAAACCTTAAAAAGAAAGGAAATATTACTACTTGTCACAGATGGATCTAAAAGTATGGAACTATAGGACATGACCATGAGGGAAACAAGACACACAGAAATAAGCACTACGACACGATCACACTTCCATGTGGAATATACAAAGTCCAACTAACACAGTCAGAGAGCAGGATGGTGTCTGTGATGAACTGGGAGCATGAAACTGAAGAGAGGGCAGTCAAACGATACAAACATATGGTGATGGGGCTGGAGCTGGGGTGTAAAAAAAAGCCTGAGCCTCCACCGGCACTGCCAGCATCGCGTGTAAGCACCAGACCAGGTCCCAAGTGCTCCACTTACCATTCCCCTCCCCGCTAACGTGCCTGGGAAAGCACTAGAAGATGACCCAAGGACGTGGGCCCCAGTGCCAAAGTGGGAGACCTGGGGCAGAGCCCTGCCACTGAGGACATCTGAGGAGGGAAATAATGCATGAGATGAGATATCCCTCATCCTCTCGCTCACCCTGTCTGTCTCTGCCTTACTCTCTTTATCCCTCTCTCCCCTTTTCTCTGTTTCCTGCCTTTCAAAAGAAATGTACAGGGGTCGGCACCGTGGCTCACTAGGTTAATCCTCCACCTGCGACGCCCGGCATCCCATATGGGCACCGGTTCTAGTCCCGGTTGCCCCTCTTCCAGTCCAGCTCTCTGCTGTGGCCAGGGAGTGCAGTGGAGGATGGCCCAAGTGCTTGGGCCCTGTACCCCACGGGAGACCAGGAGAAGTACCTGGCTCCTGCCATTGGATCAGCGCAGCACGCCAGCCGCGGCGGCCATTGGAGGGTGAACCAACGGCAAAAGGAAGACCTTCTCTCTCTCTCTCTCTCTCTCTGTCACTGTCCACTCTGCCTGTCAAAAAAAAAAAAAGCATAGGAGTGTCAATGAGAGGGCAGGTACGGTAGAAGAATTACTGCTACCAATAAATACAGCTGCTAAAGCTGCAATTATTGAATGCATAAAGTATGTATACCTTAAATAAAAGTTGTCTGGGAAAATACATAAAGAAATAAAATTTGAAAAAGTTACAAAACACGGTAAAAGTGATAAATTTGTTAAGTGGCCTCATTGTACTAATCCTTTCATAGTGTACTGTAAGTACCAGGAGAGTCGAACGGTTTGTGTGAAAATGCAATATACAGATCAGACTCATATCGAAACACAGAGAACGTGCCTTGAATAGATAGAATTTTTGTTTCTCAGTTACACTGTGAAAAGGCTGGAAAAAATAAAGCATTCAAAATAGGTTCCTATACTTAAAATGCATCATAAAAGTTAAGGAACTTAGGTTAATATTGTGGGGTTTTGGTAGGCTTCATGGGACAGAAATGATGCTAAAATATTCATGATTGGGGCTGGCACTGTGGCATAGCGGGTGAGGCCACCAAATGCAGTGCTGGCATCCTACACGGGCACCAGTTCAAGTCCCGGCTGCTCCACTTCCAATCCAGCTCTCTGCTATGGCCTGGGAAAGCAGTGAAAGACGGCCCAAGTCCTTGGGCCCCTGAACCCACGTGGGAGACCCAGAAGAGGTTCCTGGCTCCTGGCTTCACACTGGCACAGTTCCGGCCCTTGCAGCCAACTGGGGAGTGAACCAGCAGGTGGAAGACCTCTCTCTCTCTCTGCCTCTCCTTCTATCTCTGTGGAAGTCTGACTTTCAAATACATAAATCCTTAAAAAGAACATTCACAACTTGACTAAACTAAATTTCAGGAGATTTATATCTTGAAAATAAAGATTCGGGAATTCCATCAAGAGAATATTTAAGACAATATCCAAGTAACATAATGCATTGTCGCCCCACCCCACCTCCCTCAAACTGAAAACTCAGAAATACAACATGAAAGGAAATGTATCTGAAGGAAACCAGGAAAGTGAAAAGTGAAACGAGAATCCTAAATTACTATGTGCTATTCTCCCACCAATGTGTGCACATTCCTATGTGCATTTAACATAGCTACTATTATAGGCAGGTTGTGAATTAGCCCAATTAAACTATGGAATGGAAAATGCAGGGCCTGCTTCATCAGTAGGCGACCAGTGACACTGCAAGAAAATGTTAACATAATTTAAATGTCTTTAAAGTAGCACTCTGAAAACCACAGATATACCAATTCATTGAAGGATTTCCTGGACTCCATGCCTGTTCTCTCACTACAGAACTCCCAAATATTTGCAACATTGAACTGCAAGTCAGTTTTAGTTTTCCCATTCATAATTACTGAGGTGTACATAACTCACAAACAAAACAAAGGCATTGTGTGAGGTGAACACTCCATCTAGTTTCCCCCCCCATAGATACGATTCTAGTCAAACACAGGGAAAGCATCTTAAGACGTTTGGCGTAAACCACTTTAATTTTGGAACTTCCCCAGAAAGTTTCTAAATTTTAACTTCCTGTTAGTAGTACACTAGTAGTTGCTAGCCTAGGGAGAGGCTAGGCTTATGGGAGATGATAAAGTTTTATGGTGGTCACAGGAGCAGAGGTGTGGAAAAGGTGACGGAATTGAGACACAAAAGCGAAAAGCCAAAGAATCACATATTCATGTGGCTTCCAGAAGGGTGTGGGGACCAGCCAGCCTTTGAGATGCCTGGTGAATGTTATCAGAGAACATGTGTGGACTGGGAGCATGAGAAAACAAGAGAACAGATTTTTCCTGGTTTGTTGTGTGTGAGGGAAAAGAATTATGGAATCAAGGAATCAAGTTTGAAAATAGCCAAAATGAGAAAACCGTGGGCAACATAAACAGGTCTAGCTAATGATGGGAGAAAAAGCCAAGACCCTCCTGAAACACGGTACAGAGATGAGGCTGTCTAGGATGAGAAGACCAGTGAGAACAAACACTTAGACTGAACATGGGGTCATTTCAACATCTGGATTTGAATAATCAGGACTAAGAGGAACACCAAGAGTGGATAATGAGGAAACTGGAACATCCATGATGACTCGCCTCAAGGGGTTGTTACCGATTAGTCCCTGCTCAGCATCTCCTAAAATGAAAATCAAGGAATGATCCTTGGATGTCAACACTAGTGAATGCTAACCAGCAGGAAGGAAGACTCGATTCTCCACATACTATAAGAACCAAACCACAAAACACAATACCTAGGGATTCTGAAATTCTGTGTTGTTTAAACACACGGACTAACAGGGATTTCATTTCGTCAACCAAAGTTTCACAACCAATGGCATGGCAACCATTGTGGATACTGTGCAGAAACAATACCCCTCTCCTCTCCGACCGAAAAATATCATAATCCAAGTGATTTCAATATTTCAAAATCTAACTTAGAAATAAAAAGAACCAGTATTGAGTTATTCAGAACCTTATAGTTTTATACCTGCAACAAATATACTTAGGGAATAATGCTTCCTTCTCAAACTTTCGGTGCCATCCTCTGATCTACTTGCCTCTGATGATAAACAGAGTCCCCACAGTCCTAGCTAATGTAATAATATGACTGGGATATGTGAAGTTTACATCGTATGTCTCCCCATATAGCCGCATTCGTTAAGACAATCTAACAATATCTTGCTAAAGAACTTTTTCATAAAATTAGGGCAACACTGGATATCACAGAGGCAGAATTAGAATTCAGTGGGGCAATGACATCGATATACAACCATTTTGGGGGGTTTCCCAGTCAATGCTATCACTGCTGTGTTGCAGAACCTTCCATGTAAACTGAGATAAACTAGCTTAGCAAATTAGGAAAAACAGGAGTCAAAGCCTGTGAGCAGGAACTTCCTTTCTGGATGACTAGATCCAGTTTTCTCAGCTCCTATCCACCAAGCAGAACTATAAATCCAGAAAATAACACAAGAAACCTGGAAATTAACGCAGTCGCTGGGCATCGTAAGTGCCCACCCGACAGAAGATGACTCACCTGCTGGTTCACCCATCCTGGCATGACAATTCAGCCAGGTAGGCCCATTCCTTCTGGAACCGTATGTGATACCTCCGAGCACATACACATTTTACGATATACAATGTAAAGCCTATTTAGAACATGTGACATGAAATTTATAATATATAATACAAATTGAATATACAGCATTCAATTTATAACATACAATATAATACACAATTTATCCTTCCTTTCCCCTGGCTCCTGAAGGCCCGAGTGTCCCCTGCCTGTGGCCAGGGCCGGCATATGATACGCACAAACATTTCAAGAAGACTCACCAGGCGAGGAGGGACAAACCTGAGGGTCCTGTTGAACCTACTGCCACTCCTCCGACACCAGCAGCCCGGCCCTTCCTGCAGGTGTTGCTCTTGGCTGCTCACCTCCTTGTTCGAAGGCTTGGCGCCAGTGCTCAGCACATGTTCCAACAAAGAACTCCACGACGCTGGATGCTAAGAAGAGAAAAGGGAAACAGCAACACTGAGCACCCTTTTTATAAACTCGGTATTCGACAGCATGCGTCAATTCTGATTGGATTCCCTTCAGGCACCAACCAATCAGAAAACAAAGACCAAGCCCACACAGGCTTGCACACGGGATGTGGCTCCAGGCTTCTCCGGAGCTCCTGCTGTCTGTACCAAGTAGACAGCGAGGCCAGGCTCCAGTGCGGTGGGGCCGCAGGTCAGCTGTTTGCTTCACTTTTGCCATGGAATTTATTCCACCATTCGATTTAAAATTTGACAGAGATTTTCTCTTTAGGTACAGTACATACTCCTCTGATTTTCTCCCTAGAGTGTTCAAATAAAGTGAAACTGCTTTTATAGGACTCATGCATTGGGAGTGGTTTTGTTTTTCAACGACTGGATTACAGAAAGAAAACAAGTATGGGATGCTGGCATTACGGGTGGTGGCTTGACCCACTGCACAACACTAGCCCCTACCCACAGGAATTTAGAAGCCCAATGATTTAGAAAAAGACTGTCTCACATGTGGAAGGAATGCAAATGTATAGTTTCGGTAAGTCTGAATGACTTTTATTGCAGAAAACAAGAAAACACAAAGATATTTCAACTAGGTGATGAGGAGTCTGATATACAACAAATGATTCATTTAGCAGTACCGTTACCACTGCGGGATCTTTTCCTCTAACTACTGGTTTAGACACTTGATTTAAATTTGTGGCCAGCCTTGGAAAGCTGGAAATCTTGATGCCAAGCAGAAGCGGGATGAAATTTAAAACAGAGGCATACCAGCTAGAACCACAGCCTAGACCTAATTCTAGTGTTTACTCTTGGCGAGAGTTTACTCTTGGCGAGAGTTGGAAATCACAAACTCTGTAAGTAAGAAAACACCATCTCCACCTCCAGATTCCACGTTAAGCACCATATGCGCTGACCAACAATGCTTTCCTCCCTCCTACTTAATAAAAATATAATAAAAATAAGTCTATGATTGCTGCACTAATTGTAAGATACCTCTGCTTAAAGATACACCATGAAATAAAATATTTCAAGGATTTATAATAACTCTAAGAGGTTTCTAACTCAGAGAAAGTTCCAGGAGGCAAGGGTAGGTCTGTTCTAGTCTCCAGAACAGTGGGCAATCAATCCCCCAGGGCCCCAACTGTTCCCCTCCGAGGTGACTCAAAAACGCGTGCTTGAGCAATTTTGAAAAGTCACAAGTTGAGGGGCTGTGTACTAACAGAACCCTACCAGCCATCCAAATGAGGGAGAACCATCATGCAGACATTGTGCAGACACCACACCACCTGTGGGTAAGGCCTCCCCAGTGTGCACAGCACTAGCCCTGGAAATGCCAGTCACAGGGCTTAACGATGCCCACGGGGGCTGTGCAGTGTGACGACTCTGCCAGTAATAACATCTCTACCCAACAGCTCTCGAGTAGCTCAGGAGCGTAGCAGTTACATCTTGTAAAAACTAGCAGACGTGACTTTTACACAGGCCAAGAATATCTACTAGCTCACTTCACACAAGTCAGTATGTGTCATTTCTGATGAACACTTTATCAGCAAACTTCAACAAGAATTTCAGGCAAGATTTTAGGCTAGTGAGTACTGTGGGTCTGCAAGATTCTTCTTCTTTCTACTTGAGGCTTTCTTTGAATGGTTAAAGGTTCTTTTTTTAAAAAACATTTTATTTATTTTAAAGGCACAGTTACAGAAAGAGAGGGAGAAAAAGAGAAAGAGAAAGAGAGAAAGAGAGAAAGAGAGAAAGAGAAAGAGAAAGAGAAAGAGAAAGAGAAAGAGAAAGAGAAAGAGAAAGAGAAAGAGAAAGAGGTCTTCCATACACTAGTTCACTCCCCAAATGGCCACAATGGCCAGGAGCCTCTTCTGGCTTTACCACGTGGGTGCAGGAGCCCAAGCACTGGGGCTATCTTGTGCTGCCCTCCCAAGTGCATTAGCAGAAATCTGGATTGAAAGCGGAGCTGGGAATTTGAATCAGCGTCCATATGGGACGCTGGTATCTTTGGGGGCAGCTTTACCAGCTAAGCCAAAACACTGGCAGCAAAAGTTCTTATCTTCTACTTTGATTTACAAAACCCCTCAGAAATCTAGAAATTTTATGACACAGCTAACAACTCGGAAAGGACAAGAGTTATTAATGGGTGGAGTAGGGCATCTGGTACAGTGCTTAAGGAGAAACAACCTGGGCCTGGTGAGTGGACAGTGCTGTCTATGACTGTCCTCCAACCTACTTTATTTTCAGCTGTGAGTCCTAGAGGTTTGAGAGCACATTTAATAATGTACAAAGCAAAGAGGCAGAAAGAAGGGCAGTCAGGCACAAGAGTGCACTGCTCTAGTCTTTTCCACACTGCAGGTGCAGAGATCTGTTCAACACCTGTGTAAATTTCAACACAGTCAGCCTTGTGCTAGGGAGCGAGCTGGCCTGCAACCCCACTGCCTACTGCAGAATGCTAGCAAAGACCTAGTGATTCTGAACTAACACAAGTCATCAAAACAGTTCCAGGAATGCTCTGGTATGGATATTCCACGTTGCTCCCTGCAGCATTGCTTTAATGGTGAAATAGCAGAATTATCTCAAAATAGCAACCACTTATGTTGGAATACAATGTAATCTTATACAGTCACAGCCAATGGGTTATACTCAGCAGCCAAGGCCAACCTCACGGGTGCAGCCTACATGGTCACAAAGGAGCCATCACACAGCGCTGGTACTCAGAAGGGCCTTCACTGGGTGTAAACCTCTGCTGGTGGTGACTCAAAATCCTCAAAATTTTATCTTTGAATTTGCAGTTTGTAAGCGAGTCCAAAGAACATGAGGCTGAGCCAAGGAGGTATGCGGGAGAAAGGAAAGAGCTTTATGATTTAGTACCTTTAGTGGCACTTTATCCCTGCCTTAGGAACAAGGCGCTCACAAAATTATGCAGCAGGCCTTGTTAGCAGTGGTGATGTAAGCCCCTCCCAAGCAGCCAGCCACCCTGTGAAGGAGGGAACAGAAGACTAATCAAGGAATGGCTTCTGGTATAGTGGCTAAGCCACTGCTGGAATCCCCACAGCCCATGTTAGAGTGCCCAGGATCAAGTCCTGGCTGAAGTCCTGATTCCAGCTTCCTGCTAATCCACCCTGGGAGGCAGCAGGTGAAGGCTCAAGTACTTACATTCCTGCCACTCACATAGGAGACTTGGATTGAGTTCCCAGGTCCTGGCTTCAGATACAGTTCCAGCTGTTGTGGGCACTAGGGAAGTAAACTAAAGGATGAAATATTTCTCTCTTCCTTTGAAATAAATAAATAAGAAACAAAGACTAATCACCAGGGACCTTGTGGACCCCTCAAACCCTCTGGTCTTAACCCTACCAGCAAATCTCCTTTCATACCTAAGGGTCCCTATCAAAAGTCAGTTCCAGTCCCCAGGTGGCAAGATGCCCACCTCAGACTCCTCCAATATTGTTAGTTCTGCATAGGCTGAATACCAACTGTGTACCAGGGACTACAGGAATGAAAGCAGAGAGAAAAGGCCTGCCCTGGACAAGCTCACAGTCTTCTATGAGATACAGGTATTTAGCAAATACATGCTGATAAAATGGGTTAAGCGCTTTACGAAGATAAGCAGTGTGTTATGCAAGTTCTGGAAACGTATCCCTGCCTGGGAGGATGAGAGAAATGTATCAGAGAAGGAAGACCCTTGAGTTGGATATTTTGAAACATGGCTACGACTTTCTCAAGCTGAAAATACTGAGGAACATCAAGTAGTGGCTGCCTATCTGCAGAGCAGTGGCAAGTCTGGCATGACAGAAGCAGGGGCTGTGCAGCTTGGAAAAAGAAGCTGTGAACAGACCTGAGAACAAGGCCTTGGAATCCCCCCCTAAGGGATTAGGGCTTTTGGAAGTATGCAAGAGGAGATGAGAAAAGATCAGACAGTCCCCTATGCTTTCTAGGGAAATGCAGGTGGTATGCAGGCCAGAAGCAGAAAAGCCTGGAAGAAAGAATCCAGAGAGCAATGATACTTAGCAGCAGGCAGCCTCGGCCTGAGGGCTTGTGTAGGACCTGAGCCACCGCTGACATAGATTCGGTGACTACTAGGAGACAGATGCTGGTAAAGAGGGTGCTGCCAAGTTTGCCAACTTGGAAGGCAAGTCAGATGGAGCCACCAATACAGAGATCAGTGCAATGTGTGGAGCAGGTTTAAAGGGAACAGGAAGTCTGCGGTACCTGCAGGACACTCAAGTGTGTGTCTAAGAGGCAATGCAAATGGAGATGTGGATCTCCTGGTAGACGCTGAGGATGGAGACACTGCTTTGGCAGGCAGTCTCATAGAGACGTCGGTTCAAGCCACAGGAGTACTATCACCTTGAGTTAATTAGAGTGCCCCAGGCCAGTTTTCCCGCACACACATCACAGTTCAGAACCACCCAGAGAAGAGAGGCCGGGAGTCAAGGCCGCTTCTCACAGACGCAGCCAAAACTGCTTCCGGCCAGGGCCAGGAAACCCCCAAAACAGAACCCAGGCCGTAGGAAAAGTTCTTCCTCTCCCAACCCCCACCTCCACCCGCCCACCGGCACTCCTGTCACACTCGCCCTCCCTTGACGCTGCCCCAAACACCTCCTTCCCCTTCCTTCCACGCCACCCCACCTTCACGCCACCTTCCCCTCCCTTCCTCTCTCCTCCCGAATCTCCCTTGGCCACCTCTCTCCTCCTCCTCTCCCCTCCACCCCTCACATGCACACCCCTTGCCCGCTATCTGCACCCCAGGCCCCACCTACCCCGTGACGACAGCAAGGCCATCGCGCCCAACTCACCAAAGAGCGTTTCTGCTCCTCTGGAACAGGAGCCGAGGCCCGAGGGGTAGACTTCCGGAAGCTGCCCAAGAAGAGGACCGCGCCTACACATTTCCAGAAGGGCAAGGTACCTGCCGCGGCAGCCTCGGGCCGCAGCCTCTCTGAGCCCGGCCTGACCCCGGGGGATTTGGGTCTCCCGCAGGCTCCGCCGGCAGCGTCCAGGACGGCTCCGGACGGCTCGCGCGGGCTCTCCGGCAGCAGCAGACTGGACCGCCGAGGACTCCTACCTGAGCACAGCGGGCCACAAGGGGCCACTTCCGGGGCACAAGGGGCCACTTCCGGGGCACAGCGCCGGGCGCAGGCGCACTCCCCATTGGCGGCCGCCGTGGCGCCACGAATGCATCTGCGCGCTGCCTGCGGCGTCCAGCGTCTGACGCCCCAGGGCCGCTGGTGGGGCGGCCTCTCCAGGCTGTGACCCAGGGACCACGCCTCCCGGCCTCCTGGGCGCCCTGAATGGAGGTCAAGCCTCCTGGCTTCTGCCTGGCCCGGCGCTGGCCGTTGGAGCCGCTTGGGGAGAGAAGCAGAGCACCGGGCATCGCGAGCCCTCTTGCCTCTTGCTCTCTCTCACGGATCGTCCCTCTGGGGGTTCAACCCCCAGGTGGCTACTAAGGCCGGGACCAACTCAGAGTAGAGTTTGGTAAAGTGGCAGGATAGAAAATCAACAGCCTTTGTATACGCAGACAGTGCCGTGGCTCAGAAAGAACTTCTAGGACCAATCCTGTCCACATAGCTACAAAGAAAATACAGGCTCTGGGGACCATTTTAACCAAGGATGTCCACTATCTGAGAATCACAACAGATTAAAGAAAGGAATAGAAGAGGGCAAAAAGCAAAAAACCAAATTGAGAAGCTTCTGCACTGCAAGCAAAACACTCGGCAAAGCGCAGAGGCAACTAACAGAATGGGAGAAATTATCTGCAAAGTATGCACCTGGTAAAGGATTCACTACCAGAGGTTTTCAAGAAACTCAACAGCAGCAAAACAAACCACCCACTCAAGAAACGGGCCAAGGACTTCCGCAGGCATGGTTCAAGAAAGGAAATCCAAATGGCCAACAAACACATGCAAAAATGCTCAGGGTCACTAGCCATCATGGAAATGCACAGCGATACTACAACAGCCTTGAGGATGTCAGGGGGGGAAAGGCGGCCTGCTCCGCTGTTGGTGGGAATGTAAACTGGTATAGCCACTGTGGGAGACAGTATGAGAAACCTCAGAAACCTGAATATAGACAAACCAGCCATTCCACCCCGGGGAATATACACAAGGGAAAGGAAATCAGCATATGGAAGAGTCATATTTACTGCAGCTCATTTCACAACAGCAAAGATAGGCAATCAACCAAAATGCCGCTCTCCTGAAGACTGAAGAAAGAAATTACAGGCCATGTACACCACACATACATATACAGACCACAGGGGAGAGGAAAGGCCATCATTTTGAAATAGCCCTGCCTATATGTTCTCCACTTGAGAACAAGGAGACCTCTCTACCCTAGAGCATAATCGACCTTGGGGAAGGGCCATTAACCAACTCCTGCCCCTGGAAGTCTTGCTGTCTTACACAGGGGATAAAAGAGCAAAGAAAAAGGCTAGAAAAGTATTGTGAAAGCTACAGGCTAGGGGTGAAGGCCAATGAAACCAAATATTCAATCCTAAGGTTATACACGCTTTCTTCCTTCAATACTTTAGCACATCACCCGGGCTCCAGATCTATACCAGACACAGGTTCTATTTAAGAAGCAATTTCTAGGGAAACCCCAAAAAAGAGTGTGAGACACCAAAATAAAGGCCCAAAAGGAAAATGAAACCTCTGATACCTACAGCAAAGCAAACATTAAATAGCCTAACTCCCACCCAGAGGAACATAAACCTCACACTAAGAGACGCACTTACTTTGCTTTCTATTACCTGATACATTGTGTCCAGCTTTCAGAAAAAAAAAAAAGTTAAAGCAAGAAAAATGCATAGTCTGAAGAGACAAAGCAAGCATCAAAACCAGGCCCTACCATGGCAAAGATTCTGGAGCCGTCTGACTGGGTTATTAAAACAACTGTAATAGAAAAATTGGACAATATACAAGACCACATGAATAATGCAAACAGATAGATGGAAACTCTCAAAGAATCAAAAGGGACTGCCAGATCAAAACAACCACTGAGACAGAAACGAAGAATGTCTTGGAGGGGCTCATTATCAGACTAGACACTAGAGAGAAGACAATCCGTGAGCGGGTGTGTATCAATAAAAACTTCCTAAACTAAAAACCAAAGAAAGAAATGGGGAAAACGCTAATGGAATGCCTAAGGTTATGGGACAATTACAAAGGTATGACACACACAAAGCAGGAATACTAGAAGAAGAAAGGAAGGAACAGCGGCAATACTGAAGTAATGATGGCCAAAAATGTTTCAAAAGCTGAAGGTAAAAACGATAGAGGTTGAGGGGCTGGCGCTGTGGTGTAGCAGATACAGCCACCACCTGCAGCATCGGCATCCCATGTGGGTGCCGCTTTGAATCCCATATGCCCCACTTCCGATCCAGCTCTCTACTGTGGCCTGGGAAAGCAGCAGAAGATGGCCCAAGTCCTTGGTCCCCTGCACCCACATGGGAGACCCAGAAGGTCCTGGCTCCTGCCTTTTAATCGGCACAGCTCTGACCATTGTGGCCATCTGGGGAGTGAACCAGCAGATGGAAGACCTCTCTGTCTGCCTCTGCCTCTCTGTAATTCTGCCTTTCACATGAATAAATAAATACATCTTAAAAAAAAAAAAGGTTGAATATCACTGGTAGGAAACGTTTGGTGATAGAAATATCTCAGATGAGAAACAATGACTTGATCAGCCCTTGTCCTGACTGTCCAGGAACACCTTACTACTTTATTCCTTTTAGTAGTAGTTTGTTCTACTTATTAGCATTGGTTGAACTCTTTAATTTACACACAATTATTCTTAGGTGTTTAAATTCTACTGAAAAATGATTCCTGTTAAATATAAGAGTGGGAATAAGAGAGGGAGGAGATGTACAGTCCAGAACATGCTGATTCAGACTTACCCTTAATGGTAGAGCTAGAAACATGCCAGGGGATTCCAATTCAATCCCCATCAATGTGGCATGTACCAATGCCATCTTACTAGTCTAAAGTGATCAGCTTCAGTTCATAATTGATCATAATGAGAGGATTAAATGTCAAGGGGATCACATAAACAAGTCTAGTGTCTGCTTCTACTAACTGATAGAATTAAAAAGGAGAAAACAATCCAACATGGGAAGCAGGATACACAGCAGACTCATAGAATGGCCAAAGCCCTAAACAGCACCCTGGCCTCCAAATCAGCTCCTAAAGCATTCGGATCTGGCTGTAAAGCCCATGAGAGTATTTCAGGCATGGGAAGTCCAGACACTCTGGCAAAAGAAAAAAAATAACCTAAATTTAAGAACGCTGTGAGTGAGATCCCAGAGGAAAGAACAGGCCAGCAAAGAAGGAGGTACTTTTCTCTGAAGGGAGGAGAGAACTTCCACTTTGACTCTGGCCTTGTCTAAAGAAGATCAGAGTTGGTGAACTCCAGAGGAACTTCCATAGCCTTGGCAGCTCATGACAAGAACCTCTGGTGATTACTGACGTCATCAATAAGAGTGTCCATTGTTAAATCAACAACAGGAGTCACTGTGCACTTACTCCCCATGTAACATCTCTATCCTTAATGTGTTGTACTCTGTGAATGAATGCTAAAACTACTACTCAAACAGTACTCTATACTTTGTGTGTCTGTGCGGGGGCAGTCTGTTGGAATCTTTACTTAGTATATACTAATTTGATCTTCTATACATGAAGAGAATTGAAAATGAATCTTGATGAAGAATGGGACGGGAGAAGGAGTGGGGGATGGGATGGTTGTGGGTGGGATGGATGTTATTGGGGGAAAAGCTGCTATAATCCCAATGTTGTGCTTTGGAAATTTATAGTTATTAAATAGAAGTTGAAAAACTAAATTATGTGTGTATGTTTCTACAGTAGAGCATATGTGTAGTTTTTCAAATGGTAGTATCAACAGGAATAGAACAAAATTTTTCAAGTTAAAATAGAAGTCAAAAAACCTATTAAAAAAGAAAAAGGAAAATAAATGTATTTAAAACTATTTTGGAAAATAAGAAAACAAGTATTCAAAATCAATCCCACGAAAACCCCTTTTGATGCCAGCTTACCAACAGAGGACGCATATGCTCATATAATCATAGGCGCAACTAAGAGGTGATCCTTAACACTTTATAAGCATTTACCCACCTACTTAAAAACTTTTCATAACAAAAGAAATAGCTTTCAGGGCCACCGTTGTGGGTCAGTGGGTTAATCCTCTGCCTGCAGCGCCTGCATCCCATGTGGGCACCGGTTCTAGTCCCAGCTGCTCCTCTTCCGATCCAGCTCTCTGCTATGGCCTGGGAAAGCAGGGGAAGATGGCTCAAGTCCTTGGGCCCCTGCAGTCATGCCGGAGACAGGAAGAAGCTCCTGGCTCCTGGCTTCGGATCGGCACAGCTCCAGCCGTTGTGGCCATTTGGGGAGTGAACCACCAGACGGAAGGCCTTTCTCTCTGTCTCTCCCTCTCACTGTCTGTAACTCTGCCTTTCAAATAAATAAATAAATACAATCTTAAAAAAAATAGCTTTCTAACATTTTACTCTATGGATGCAGCAGAATTTGCTACTTACTTATATATTATTCTTTTCCATGTATATATTATTCCTAACTTCATTTTTCCTCCCTCATCAGAAAGGAAGACATGCTCAGGTTTGAAAAACTGTAAATCACAATCATTCAAAAAGGAGAGGATAGAAGCCACCATAACCCCTTCACTAGAATGAGCATGCTAACATGGAGGATTACCTTCTGTGCATTTATCCCATTCTTCATTACAACTAAGGTGATTTTAAACATCTTTGCACGTGAATGTTTGTTTGCATTTTTATTTCTTTAGAGTAGAAGATTGCAGAATAAGTGGATCATAAAGCACTAACTGTTTTGTGATCCTAGAATGCAATATCTAATTTCCTTTGGGAGCATTTCTTTCAATGCTGTTTTTCTCAATGCAACCCCAGATTACTAAGTCTGAAGCTAAACCAGCAACTCTTAAGGTTCCAAAGCAATCATATACACATTTGACATCCTAGGAGCAGTGAGTCTCCCTTTCCATGCTCACAGCCCAGGCAGGCTGCCAGGTGTCTTCCCTGTGAGAGCCCACAGGCGGAAAACTCCACACCTCCTGGGCTGAGCTCACTCACTCCCTTCTTCCTTCTCCTGACAGGCCGGCACCACTAATCACCAAGCATTAGAACTAAGAGTTATCCTGAACCACCAATGTTACCTAAGTTCAATTGCTTAAGTTGTACCAGTAGCTACAACTGATGTCACTAAGGCCAACTGGTCCTATTTCACACAGACCTTGCACATCCTCCCCCTGCACAGCCACTGTCCCAGTTCAGAGTCTCATCGTGTCACCTACATAACTGCAATAGCTGCTCCCAGAAATTCACTCTGGATTTAAATCTATCCCAATTGTCTAAAATAAAAAGTCATACCATTCCATCAACATCTGTCCTTACACAACCACAACCACACACACAGGAAACTCAATGTATCAAAACCAAACTGCTGATTTCCCCATGAAACCTCTTGCTCTGGCCCCCTATCTTCCCCTGCAATAACTGACCCACCATTTCACCAGCAGCTCAAGTCAAACCCTAGCATCATTCTCACTCCTTTATTTCCATCAAGCCATCAGTGCCACCTGTAAACTTTCTCCACTTCTCTCCATTTTCAGCCTGAGCAGATGTGAGCTAAGCAGATTTGAAGCCAGGAGCCTGCAGCTTCCTCCAGGATTCCCAAACAGTCGCAGGGGACCAAAGACTTGGGCACTCTTCTACTGCTGGGCCGGGCCACAGCAGAGCTGGGACGGAAGCGGAGGTGCTGGGACTTGAACCACCACCCATATGGGATGCTGCTACTTCAGGCAGCAGCTTCATCCACTCTGCCACGGCTCGGCCCGCCCCCACACCCTCCCCCAAATGCCCAGGTTGTTGCACTTGTGATACAGCTGGCTGCTAACAAGCCTAGGAAAGCAGAGCAAGAGGCCCAAGGACTTGGGCACCCGAACCCACACTGGAGTCCTGGATAAAGTACCTGGCTTCTGCTTCAGCCTGGCGCAGCCCCAGGACATCGTAGCCACCTGGGGTGTGAACCCATACACTGACTCTCTCTCCACCACTGCCTCATCTGTAACTCTGCCTTTCACACCAGTCTTTAAAAAGAAAAAACAATCCAGTACTTACCATGAGGCGTCAGAACCTTGGACAGGCTGGAACAGAGCACAAAGGGATTCCTGGGGTTTCTCTAAGCTTCTGCTTTCTAGTCCTTGTGTGCGGTCTGTGAAAATTCACCGGATTACGTGCAAGTTAATTCGAGTGCCCCAGGCCAGCTTTCCCGCACACACATTACAGTTCAGAACCACCCAGAGAAGAGAGGCCGGGAGTCAAGGCCGCTTCTCACAGACGCAGCCAAAACTGCTTCCGGCCAGGGCCAGGAAACCCCCAAAACAGAACCCAGGCCGTAGGAAAAGTTCTTCCTCTCCCAACCCCCGCCTCCACCCACCCACCGGCACTCCTGTCACACTCGCCCTCCCTCGACGCTGCCCCACATGCCTTCCTTCCCCTTCCTTCCACGCCACCCCACCTTCACGCCACCTTTTCCTTCTCCCCCTTCCTCTCTCCTCCCGAATCTCCCTTGGCCGCCTCTCTCCTCCTCCTCTCCCCTCCACCCCTCACATGCACACCCCTTGCCTGCTATCTGCACCCCAGGCCCCATCTACCCCGTGACGACAGCAAGGCCATCGCGCCCAACTCACCAAAGAGCGTTTCTGCTCCTCTGGAACAGGAGCCGAGGCCCGAGGGGTAGACTTCCGGAAGCTGCCGAAGAAGAGGACCGCGCCTACACATTTCCAGAAGGGCAAGGTAACTGATGCGGCTGTCCCGGGCTGCAGTGTCTCTGATTCAGGCCTGACCCCGGAGGCACTGGGTCTCACTCAGGCTCCGCCAGCAGCATCGAGGACGGCTCCTCAAGACTTGAACAGGCTTTTGGGCAGGAACAGATGAGGAGCAGACTTCCATCTGAGGATGGCTGAGCAGGAGATGTACCTACGGGTACAATTCCTGGTCACAGCGCAGGGCGCAAATTCACTCCCCACAGGCAGCTGCCATGGCGCCATGGGACACATCTGCATGCTGCTACGTCCAGTGTGGGGCGCTCAAGAGCCGATTCCAGTCCCGCTACTCCAGGATGGGACCGAGGGAGGCAGCTGCTGATGGCCCAGGTACTTGGAACCTGCCTCCTTCCCTCCTGGGAGTCCTGAATGGAGTTCTTGCCTCCTGGCTTCTGCCTGGCCCGGCACTGGCCTTTGAAGCCACTTGGGGAGAGAAGCAGTGCATGGGGCATCACGAGCACTCTTGCTCTCTCTCAGTGATTGCCCATCTGGTGGTTCGCCCCCTCCCAGTGGCTACAAAGGCCAGGGCTGGGCCAGGCTGAAACAGAAGCCAGGGACTTTATCTGGTGCCCCATTCTGAGAACCTGCCACTGGGCCCCTGGCTCCTGAATACTGGCTCCGGATCTGCTCAGCCCCCATCACTGCGCCAATTTGGAGAGAACCAGCAGATGAAAGACTTACTTTCTCTTTCTCTCTCTCTCTCTCTCTGAATGTAACTCTGAATTTCAAATAAATGAATAAGAACTTTATAAGAAAAAAGGAAGACATAGCTATAAATAAACTACTACATCACGGCCAACTACTAGAGTTTATATCGAACTTGATAATATATGCATCACCTGGCCTATTAACACAGAACTCCTGTGTGAAGGATAGTTAAAACCCGTGATTTGCAAACCCTTCCAAAAAGGAGACAAAGGGGAAAAATCTTCCATCTTATCCCATTGGACCAACTTTTTCCCAACATCCAAAAAAAATGCATCAAAAAGAAAACGGCACATACGTATCTGTCATGACTGCGCTGTCACATTCCTCAACAAAATATTACCAAACGCGCTCCTGAAGCACAACCAAAGCTTAGCACGCTGGGTGCAACTGAGAGGTACTCCAGGAATGCAAGGATGGCTACCATACACAATCAATATATCACAGAACAGAATAAACATGGGGAAAGCCCACAAAGTATCCCTATAGACACAGAAAACCTAGTTCACAAAAACTCCCACCACTTTGGCCATATCAAAATAAAAAGGAATCATCAAATCAGGAACAGAAGCTAAACCTCGGCTTGACAATGGCCTCTCACTGAAAACCCACAGAGCGCTAACATCACACCAAATGCCAGTTAACCGGAAACTGTCCTCCTAGACCAGGAAACAGACGAGCGTTTTCGCTCTTATTCCTCCCCGTCAGCAGTCTCGGGGGTCTCGAGCAGGGCGGCTGGGCCATCAAAACGCAAACAGACGGGAACGCGGGGCCGCTCCGGGAGGAGACGGAGCCCCTCTGCTCTGGCACAGCTGCTCGCACACTGGGGAAAGTTCCAGACCGACCGTCCACACAGCAAGACCACGACTCCACCCGCGCCTTCGGGACCCGAGAGCAACAGGCACGCCGGCAGCGAAGACTCGCAGCGGGAAACCCCAACAGCCCCGCGTCACTCACCGCCAAGGGGGCCCGGTCTGCTGGCGGGCGGCACAGGGGCCCGCGAAGGCCGCTGCTTCCACGAGGGGCCGAAGAAGAGAACCGCGCCCTGGGAAACGGCGCGGCAGCCTCGGGCCGCAGCCTCTCTGAGCCCGGCCTGACCCCGGGGGCGCTGGGTCTCCCGCAGGCTCCGCCGGCAGCGTCCAGGACGGCTCCCGACGGCTCGCGCGGGCTCTCCGGCAGCAGCGGACGGGACCCGCGAGGACTCCTACCTGAGCGCCGCGGGCCACAAGGGGCCACTTCCGGGGCACAAGGGGCCACTTCCGGGGCACAGCGCCGGGCGCAGGCGCACTCCCCGTGGGCGGCCGCCGTGGCGCCACGGGACGCACCTGCGCGCTGCCTGCCGCGTCCAGCGTCCGACGCCCCAGGGCCGCTGGCAGTGCAGCCTCTCCAGGCTGTGACCTAGGGACGCCGGTTCGAGTCCCGGCTGCTCCACTGGCGATGCTTCTCCACAGCCGCCGTCTGTCCTGTAGGGTGCCTGGTGAAGCTGAGCTCAGCTCCAGTCTCCTCGCCCCAGAGGGAAGGGACTCGGCAGCCTGGGCCATGGCATAGCTGGGGACACCTCTGGCTCCTCCTGCATAGCCCCACGGGCTGCACAGGCCCTGATGCCTGCCTCACTCTCCCATCTCTGGGGACCACTGGCACCAACTCCGGGTCCCATGCTGTTCCTGTCACCTACCCCACCTGACTTCCTGACCCTAATGGTGCATTGGCTGGAGCCGGCGCTGTGGCACAGTAGGCTAATCCTCTGCCTGCGCTGCCCGATCCCATGTGGGTGCCGGCTCTAGTCCTGGAGGCTCCTCTTCCAATCCAGCTCTCTGCTGTCGGCTTGGAAAGCAGTAGAAGATGGCCCAAGTGCTTGGGTCCCTCATCTGCATGGGGAACCAGGAAGAAGCACCTGGCTCCTGGCTTCTGATCGCTGTAGCTCCGGCCATTGTGGCCATTTGGGGAAATGAACCAACGGATGGAAGACCTTTCTCTCTGTCTCTCCCTCTCACCCTAACTCTACTCTCAAATAAATAAATAATAAAATAAAATAAAAAATAGTGCATTGGCTGATTACCAGCATCTTAGTCCCTCCTTAATGGCTGGAATGGATCCTCACCTAAGGTGATGGTGAGGGCTGGGGCAGACATGAAGTCTGGGCCAGGCACTCGGGGACAAGGAGTGCTGTTTCTAAAGAGGTGGCAGGGGTGCCCTGTGTTTCCTGTCCCTGGGCCACTGGCCCCTTCCCCATGAGATTCGGCTGTCCCGATTCTGTCCCATGAGCATCCAGGGGAGGCAGCAGCTGGAAGCACAGTGCAGCCTCCCCAGAGCTTGAACAGCCTGCACCTGGGCCTCCACTGCGAGCCTCTAGAGCTGAGACAAACCCATCTCTGCTCTGCATGGGGACCCAGGTGCTCATGTATGGCAGTCACAGCAGGGGATGAGAACAGGACCCCCCCCCACCAGAGCCCACAGGTAACAATGCTCTGGGTCCTGCTGCCCCTCTGTTGGCCCGAGGCTAGGACTGCAAAACCCCACACTCACTTGCACTTGAGTTCTGCCCCTGGGACCTCCAGAACCTGCCTCTGCACCCACCCCTACTCACAGGAGTCAACCCGGCCCCCACAAATGGGCTCAGGGCACCTGGGCCTTCCAGGTGTCCTCAGATCCAATGCCCGGCTGGCTTTGGCCTTCACTGTGCAGGGTCTCCCACAGCCCCACCTCCCTATAGCCCTGCCCTTATACAGGTGGGAGCCCCGCCCCCCAGTCCTATGAGGGTCTTGTCTGAAGACAGCTGTGGTCATCAGGCCAGGAGCCTGTGTGGGGTCATTCAGGGAGAGGCCCCCTGGGCAGGCAGGGACGCAGCTCATCTTGCCAGAGTGGGGGGGTCCAGCTGTGCTCCGGGCTCCTGGAGCCAGAGCCACATGCAGGGCCCTGAGGACAGCTCCACAGCCTGGCCCAAGAGTCATGGCGGTTGAGCCAACACCCGCCCCCATCCCACAGGAGGATTTAAGGAAGCTCCAGTCGGCTGGTGCCGTGGCTCACTAAGCTAATCCTCCACCTGCGGTGCTGGCACGCCGGGTTCTAGTCCCGGTCGGGTTGCCAGATTCTGTCCTGGTTGCACCTCTCCCAGTCCAGCTCTCTGCTGTGGCCCAGGAAAGCAGTGGAGGATGGCCCAAGTGCTTGGGCCCTACACCTGCATGGAAAGCCCAGGGGGAAGCACCTGGCTCCCAGCTTCAGATCAGCACAGCGCGCCGACCGTGACAGCCATTTAGGGGGCAAACCAAAGGAAGGAAGACCTTTCTCTCTGTCTCTCTCTCTCTCTCACTAACTCTGCCTGTCAAAAAAATAAAAAAATTAAATATGGCCAAATGAGCCACTGGGCCAGAGCATTTCCCAACCCTAGAGACCCACCGGCTCTTTCCCCTAAATGTTGCCAGAAGGGCCATTGAGGAATGGACTGTCCTCTTGCCCATCCTAATTGAGTCAGTAGGCCATCCACCCCACCTATGCCCTGGGTTGACCTTTTAGGGCTAGCTGTTGAGGACTGAAGGAGCCTGGACTCCTACCACCAAACTATGGCCATCACTCCATGGGAGGAAGCCCAGGTTAACTGTGATGTCCTCTGTTAACTGAGCTGTCCTCAGGCCCTGAGGTAGGCCAATTACTTTTTTATTGACATGGGGGCAACCTTCTCAGTCCTGACCCAGTATTGGGGACCCACCTCTGTTGCCTCAACCTCCATGGCTTCAGCATGGCCCAGCCTGACATTGTGGCAATATGGTGAGTGAACCAGTTGGTAAAAGATTCTCTTTCTCCCCATCTCCCTCCCGCTCCCTCCTGCTCTGTTCCTCTCCCTCCCTCTCTCCCTCTCCCTCTCTCCCTCTCTCTCACTCTTAACTCTGCCTGTTAAATAAATAATCTTTTTGAAAATATTAAAGCAGTCAAATAATTGCCACATATTTGTTATATACCAGGTAGTTCCATTTTCAAAAAATTATGAAATAAATGGGGATTAATGGAGAGAGTCAATGATTTGCTGTGCGAACATAAGACAGAGAATTCAGAAACCTAGCAAGGAGCAGAGGTGTGTTGGTGTCATCAACTGATTCTCTAGGGTTAACAAAAAGTTCTGACTTGTGGCATTTAGCAACTTACGTGGCATGAATATCAACAGATGGATGTGGTTTGAAACTACCAAACTGTGATTTGGTATGAACACGATTTTAAATCCATTCAAAGGATTTTATGGTATGCATCTTTATCAAATTTTGATGAGATTTTAGAATATGAGCTTTCATGAACTTTCTGTGACTTCATGATGAAAAAAAAATGTATGAAAATGCTACCATGAAAAAAATTATGTGTGGGTTTAAATTTTTTGTGCCAATATCAGCTCATATTTTCATTGTTTTTATATATTTCACTGTATTCTTAAATACTGATTTTATAGTAACTGTTGCATGTCCCCTTGAACAATGGAATTGGAAATTCAAGACTGAAATGGGTTGAGCTGAAAATTTTGGAATCAGATCATTCCATATTCCTTTTTGAATAAGTTTGTGAAGTGTGAAGTGTACAACATGATTTCCGCACAGTCAGAAAACATGACTCCTTTGAAGTCAGTTGCAAGCCAATTTGTTTATTTCTGGACAGAAAGAAAAATCTGTCAATTTTTTTTCTAAAAACACTCTTAGCTTCATGGTAGAGTGTAGGGAAATTAGTGATGTCCAGCTGTGAATATGCTACCATTGAATGAAATAAAATGATTCATTTTGGAGAGTTGGGCGGCCCCCTTCTAGATGTGAGTTTTGCAGCTTGCTTTATAGGGTCGATTACTGTTGTTCCAAAGCACCAGATATGATGAGATGGTTCCATTTCTGTTGAAATAAAAAGTGAAATAATATTCTCAGATTCTGGAGATATCCCAATTCCTGATTAAAGAACTGCCCTCAAGATTTCCCCTAAGAAATGAGGTAAACATCATTAAACCAAAAGACACACATGAGAAGGAACTGATAATACATGTCTCCAGGTGATGAACCAAACTTCACCCTGTAAAAAAATTGCCTTTTGCCAATAACAACCTAGGTTTGCAGAGTGCTTGCTGGCACTACTGAGGAGAAGTTAAGAGGAAGCCCTGAGATACCATGCCAATGGAGCTCTTGAGTAACAGCGGACAGAGGACACAGCTGTGCCCTGGAATCCTCTTCCAATGCAGGATTCCGGTCAATCGCCCTACTTGACATGGGGTCAGATTCCAGGAGTGGCATTATTTATTTCACTGAAGATAAAACCTAAGTTTTCTTAGGACATATTCATAAAGTAAACTCAGTATGAGAGAGAGAGTGGCAAAAAAAGTACTTTAAAGCCAAGTGTCACACACTCATAAAGGAGTGTTTTCATGAGGTTTCTGAGACTTCATGCAGACAATTTAAGGAAAATATGTGTTATGAAAAAACCATAGATATTATACTTTCTGAACCCAACAAATCCCCACTCTTCATTTTTAGAAGATTTACCTTTATCTTTGAATACTCTTTGTGTACAAAGCATTGGAATTAACCCCTGATGAAGCAAAAGAATAAGGGCAGGTAAACTGAAAGGACCTGGTAGTTTGGAAAGTGTCCATTCAGTGTGCAACTGTGAACACACATGGAACCACTTGATGCACAATGGTTGTCTTGGTGTAGGGGCCTCTTGGGCAATTCTCTACTCAGGAATTCCATCCATTCTTGGACAGAAATTGAATGTGTCAAGCAAAAACAGAAAACTTGTGCAAGCAGTCCTTCCTGTGAGGTTAAATGAAGTGCATGGGGAAAAAACCCTAAGCAGTCATGGTAACTGTGCTCTTCTGTAACTCAGAAGTCAGAGGACAGTGCACTGGTTGGGCCCATACCAAGCGCAGGCTTGGCATCCTCTCCGGCTGGAGAATTCACTCGGTCATTATACTGGACACTGGTCTGGTCTGCAGTAGCAGGGTAATTTGTTCTGCTGAAGAAACACCAGGGAGCAGGAAAAATAATGTTAGGTGAGAGCATGATACACTCATGGTGTGGATTTCAGGAGGTTTCTGAGACAGCTTAGAGATAAGCTTATGAAAAGATACAACTGATGAGCAAATTGATACCTAGCGTAAATGCTTTGTTGGACCAAAACAACTTCCTATTGTACCTTGATTCTTATATTTTAGTTTTTGTCTTTGAATACCAAATTGTCTTGCAGCATTAGAACTACTTTTAATGAAGGCAAAGAAAAAAATGAAACAAACTTGTAGCTTGGAAAATGTGAATTCAGTGTTGTACTGCCAACAAGTGTGAAGAAAACATGAAGACTATGTAGTCTTAGTTTATGGGCCTCATGGGCAATTCTCTACCAAGGAAGTTCACCCACCAGGGGAAGAAACTGAAGATATTTCAAGCAAAGTTTAAAAACAAACATTTTGAAACAGTAGTCCTTAGTCTTATGTTAAGTAAAATACAGAGAAAAGAAAAGAAAATCTTAAGAAAAGAGATCCTAACTCAGTTTTCCAGCCACTTGGAATGCAGAGGACAGAAGACATAGGTGGGCCCATCTAGGCTCAGGCATGGCATCCTGTGCCATTTCGAGATTTTGGCCATTCACCCTACCTGGTATTGTGTCAACAGCAGTGGTAGCATCAAAGCACCTGTTGAATGACAAACAAAAGTTGTCAAGATATTTCAGACAACAGACCCATCTCAACCATCTGATGGCAGCAAAAAAATTTGAAATCCAAGCAAATTGGCTCCTATTGTGGACTTGAATGAGTTTTCTGATACATCATTAAAATCAGTTTCTTAAAGTATGGATAATGAAAAAAAGCTCATAGTTTAATAATTTTAGAACAAAATTCTTGTTTAAATTCATTTTTAGTTTTTTCCCCCTTTATCCTTGACTATTATTTGTATCTTAACAATCGCAACTACTCTTTCAGAAGACAAAAAGATTATGATAAAAATCAAAGGTCTGGTAACTTGGAAAGTGCCCATTTGGTGTTTCTCTAGGAGTCAAGGATAGAATAGGAGGAATACAAAATGGAGTAGATGAGGTTAAGTGCCCCACGGGAAATTCCCTGGCAAGGAACTCCATGCTTCCTGCACAGGATCTGAAGAGTCCAAGCCAAGTTAGAAAACTTCTACAAACATTTCTGCACAATAATTCTTAGTGTAAAGTTAAAAGATTTGTACAGAAAGATAAAATCCTGGTGCTTTGGCACAGTAGGTTAACCCTCCACCTGCGGCACCAGCATCTCATATAGGTACCGGTCCTAGTCCCAGTTGCTTCTCTTCTGGTCCAGCCCTCCACCATGGCCTGGGAAAGCAGTAGAAGTTGGCCCAAGTACTCTAGCCCCTGCACCCATGTGGAAGGCCTGGAAGAAGCTCTTGTCTGCTGGCTTTGGACCGGTGCAGCTCTGGCTAGTGTGGTCATTTGGGGAGTGAACCAACAGATGGAAGACCTTTCTCTGTCTCTCACTGTCTGTAATTCTACCTCTCAAATAAATTTAAAAAATCTTTAAAATAAAGAGAGAAAACCCCAAGGAATCAGGCCAGCTGTCCTCATAAGTAAGAAAAAGAGGAGAGAAAACATCAGTAGGCCCACTGCAAGGTTAGGCCTGATATCCTCTCCCAGTGGAAGATTTTTGTCAGTCACCATATTTGACACTGGGTGGGCTTCCCCTGGAGTGTCATTCATTCCATTGCAGAAAAAAATAAAGCTCTCCTAAAACATTTTCATAAGAGACTCATCTCAGTATCAGATAGTAATAACAAATTACTTTAAATACCAGCATCCTACACTTACAGTGGGGATTTTCATGAGGTTTCTGAGACTTCATGTAGAAAAGCTAAGGAAAATATATGTTCTGGATTCATTTTTAGGTGTCTTATTTTACCTTTGAACACTATTTGTGTAGAAAGCACTGAAATTACCCTGCATTATGGCAAAGGCATAAGGAGATACTGATACTATCTGGTAACACGAAAAGTGTCCATGCAGCGTGCAACTGTGAGGCAACGATAGAGTAACAATGCAAAACACTTTTCTTATTTTAGGTGCCTCTTGGGCAATTCTCTACCCAGGAATTCCGTCCATTCTTCATGCACAGAAACTGAGGATGTCAAACAACATTAGAAAACATGCGCAAGCATTCTAGAAAATGTAGTTCATACTGTGAGGTGAAATGAAGTTTATCGGGAAAAAATATCCTAAGGGATCATGTCAACTGTGCTCTCCAGTAACTCAGAAGACAGAGTACAGTAGACACGGGTGGTCCCATAGAAGGTCAGACTTCTCACCTTCTACCACTGGAGGATTTTGGTCAGTGAATATACGTGACACTGTTCTGGTTTGGAGTGGTGGGGGAAATTTCTTATGTTGAAGAAAAACCAGGAGTTATCTTAGTATATTTGAAGACAACATATTCATTTCAACATGGAGCAACAGTAAAAGAAAAAATATACTGAAACATAATACACCCATGATGTGGACTTCATGAGGCTTCTAAGAGGTAAGTTTATGTAAATACAATGAATGAAAACTTGATGCACAGGTTTAACAATCTGGGGGAGCAAAACAAGTCCTCATGCTAACTTCCTTCTTACATTGTTTAATTTTTGCCTTTGAATGCATTGTGTACTGACCGTTACACTACCCCTTGGTAAAGCCAAAGGAAAAGGATGGAAAAAAATGAAAGCAACTGGCAAGTTGGAACATTCCCACTCAGTGTACTCCAGCAAACAAATGATAGAAAAACAAGAAGCAAAACACTAGTCTTAGTTTAGATACCTCAATGACAATTCTCTACTAAAGTACTCCTTCCTGTGAGGAAACTAAGGTTTTCAAGCAAAGTGAGAAAACTCAAACAGATATTTTTGAAAAGTAGTCCCTAGTGTTAGGTTAAAGGAAGTGCATAGAAATGAAGAAAAATACTAAGGAATGATGCTAACTGAACTCTCAGTAACTCAGAATGCAGAGGACAGAAGGCTTCAGCTGCCATTGAAAATTTTTTTACTCTGTCATCATACCTTACACTGATTCGTACTCCAGGGTAGCATTAAATCACCTGTGGAAGGTAAATCAAAAGTTTTCTTAGGATATTTTCAGAACACAATCATTTTATCAACTGACAACAGGAAAACATTATTTGAACCCATAGAAATACATGCTCATAATGTAGATTTTCATGAGTTTTCTGACACAAGATAAACATAGGTTTATTTTTATTTATTTATTTTTGACAGGCAGAGTGGACAGTGAGAGAGAGGCAGAGAAAGGTCTTCCTTTGCCATTGGTTCACCCTCTGCTGCGGTCGGCGCACCTCGCTGATCCTATGGCAGGAGCTAGGTACTTCTGGTCTCCCATGGGGTACAGGGCCCAAGGACTTGGGCCATCCTCCACTGCACTCCCTGGCCACAGCAGAGAGCTGGCCTGGAAGAGGGGCAACCGGGACAGAATCCAGTGCCCCAACCGGGACTAGAACCCGGTGTGCCGGCGCTACAAGGTGGAGGATTAGCCTAGTGAGCCGTGGCGCCGGCCAGACATAGGTTTATAAAGATGGGTACAATGAGAAAGCGGCTCATAGATTTAATAATTCAGCAACAAAAATGCCAATTTCAAATATATCCTTAGATTCCTTATTTTTATCCTTAAATATCGTTTGTGACTTACCAATTGCAAACACCCCTCAATAAAGAAAAAGCCAGGTATAGACAAAAGGAAAGGATACGGTAACTTGGAAAGTGCCCATTCCGTGTTCTGCTGGGAGCCACACAGAGAACAACATGAAACAAAAGCTTTGCCTTAGATTAGAGCCCTCAAGGACAATCTCTGCTGAGCAATTCTATCCTTCCTGGAGAACAACCGAAGAGACCGAGTCAAGTTAGTGGTCACATGAACATTTTGAAAATGGATTCTTTGTGTAAACTTAAAGAAACTGTATGGAAGTAAGAAGAAATCCTAAGGAAATACACCAAAGTGCTTTTCAGTAACTAAGAAGATAAAGTGCAAAAGGAAAGTGTGGTCCCACTCTAGATTCGGGCTGAATATTCACACAGTGAAGATCATGGTCAGTCACACACCTTGACACTGATTGGATTTCCATTGTGGTGTTACTTATTCTGTTGATGGAAAGAACTAAGGCTGTCTAATGATGTTTTCAGAAAACAGACCCATATCAATATGCACATGGTGTAAAATAAATTATTTTACATCCCACCATATTTAATTCATAATGATGA